ATTTCTATAGAAATTGGCACTTTTATAAATTAACCTAGTTACACCCCTCTGGCAGTCAATCAGACAATCGTTCCTGTTACTTCCTAGTTGTTTAACCTAGTGAAGCTAAACTCAAGAGGCAGGCAATTGCCAGAGCACCTGTCTTGCAGATACGTCTCACTGAGCAGCATTGGGAATTGTGTGATTGGTGAGGCACAGAAAATCTGGGCAGGGTTAAAAGGGGAGAGGTTGAAAAACTTTAGACAAAAGGTTTGCAGCTTTTGCAAGCTGTTTTAAGATATAACCCCAATAAAAAACAAATGCATAATTAAATGCATGCATGTTTCATTGGGGTATATCTACTAAACAGTGATTTTTATTCATTTTGTGTTTGGCCAGTGGAGTGTCCCTTTAAGTAGCATTGATGGAAGCTTGTGAGGAAGAATCTACCAATGGAATCACTATCCATGACAAATGGGCAGCTGGTGGATCACTGGGTGACATGTGAACCTTTGGCTGATGGTGATATATTATACACAAGATCCAGCGCACTCACCTATCCACTAAACAGCAACTTCAATGTTGAAAGATTTTATTTGTTTTTTTAAAAACACCTAATCTAGGCAAAAATAATGGGGGTTTAGTTACATTATATGATCATACAGTGCATAAGCCTGCCACAACGTCAATGTACCCCATCTTTGGCAGGTCCTACACTAACAGCCTAATGTCTGCTCTTATGAGATTAACCTATTATTTGGCCCCCAGCAGCACCCCCATTTATGCATGTTAAGGTGAGTGCAGCCAACCCCCTCTTGATGGTGATATATTAGACTAAAGAAATATATATATAAAACAAAAATTCATCAATTTGTTTATTTAGATTTCCTAGGTCTAATAATATTATCCGTTAATTGTAAAAGTTCTGATTGAAATCTAATTCAGCATTTATGCCTGTACCCTCCAGTTGTTTAAGGGCTTCAGGTTTTTACCTAGGAAATGAATCAGATACAACCTTGATGTCTTCCTGAAAATTTAGAAATGGGGGTCACATTACACTAATCGGTGGGAGATTGAATTGGGGATTGACCTATCTCAAGCACAGCAGCAAATGTATTTGTTATAATTTATAAATGCCCTGTATCCTCTAGGTCCAAGAATATACATTTAAGAACTTTGCACAATGATACCATTTACAAAATGCAAATGTTTTAATCCCCCTATAAAGGTCTTTAATACACCTCATCTGAGGCTGCATAAAATAATTATTCATCATGCCAATTCGTTCATAGTACC